CGTGTCCCCCACATTGGCGGGCAGATTCTTAAGCACTGTGCCATCAGGGAAGCCCCAGCCCTATGGCTTTAAATACTATCTACACACAGATTTATAGCCAACATTTTTATCTCCCTGAATCTCAGATGCATAGATCTACCGTCTACTTGACGTCTCTTCTTGGACGGCTAACAGACAACTCAATCCATGTCTAAACCTTTTGTTCGTACTTTCAGTGCACACTTCTCCTTCCTGAAACTACCCCACCCACTCACCCAGCTCCCACTCACACACTCACATCTACTCCTCTGGCAGTCTTCCCATTTCAATAAATGGCAACCCTACTCTTCCAGATCCTCAGGCCCAAAACATTGGAGACATTCTTGATTCTTCTCCTTCAATCACACCTCACATTAAATCCAACAGGAAGTTCTCTGGGCTATTGCCAGTCTTAATACCACCACTCCACTGCCACCACGCTGCTCTAAGCCATCATCTGTCACCTGGATTATTGCAGCAGTCTGCTAATTGGCTTCCTACCGTCTACACTCAAAAAGCAGTCAGAGTTGTTAAATGTTAAATCATACTACCATGTCACTTCTCTACTTAAAACTCTCCAGTGGAAGCCAAAATCCTTACAATGGCCTACAAGGTTGTAGATCTGGCCCCAGTACTTTTCTGGCCCCATTTTGTTCTACTGATACCTTCCCCCTGAACTGTCCCTGTCTCATTCCAGCCACTGGCCCCCTTACTACCGTTCCCTGACCACACAGGCTCTCTCCCCTGCAGGGACCTTGTGTGGGCTGTTCTCTGGATGAGTCCGTCTTCCCTTACACTTTGTTCCCTCACTTCCTTCAGGTCTTTGGCTCGAGGTCTTCCCGGGGCTCCAGTCGTTCAAAGAACCAGCTGACTTCGTTCACCACCACCACCACTCGACAGCTTACATCACTGTTTTGTCTCCTTAGTACTTATCGACATTGAACACAATCTATATTTCACTTATCCTGTTTTTGTTTCCCTCTTCCCTTCCTTCTCTGCCCCGCCCACCAGCCAAGGTGGAAGGGGTTTTACCTGTGCTCCCTGCCTTATTTACCTCCTGCCACTACAGTACCTGACACAGCTGGAACTCAGTATTTGTTTAATAAATGAATCATACGGTCAGTTCACTTCAATGGGTGGGGGAAGGTACTATATAATAGATTGGAAAAATAAAGAGAACAGTCTTAGAATTGTCTTTACTTCCTGATGTTAAAATGGCTACCTTATAACATTTTTTCTTTACACTTACACACTCATCATTTCATTTTAATTAACTCCTTCACTGAAGCACAGCACTGTCAGCTCTATCAACAAAATCACACACTAGCTCTACCTCTTGGCATTTAACTTTGGGAAGGTATAATACCTCAAATTTCCTAGAGTTCTTCCAGTTTTCATTAATCAAAAAAAATTTTTTTTTTCTTTTTCAGGTTAACGGAACCGGCCCTGGGTACCTACCAAGAGTGTGTCAGCCTTGTTTGCCTGGGCCTGCGGTGCCCCCTCCTCCCTTTCCCTCTTCCCCTGAGGGCGTCTGAAGGCTGAGCCTCTGGTAAAAGCAAGGGTGGGACAGCCAAAGCCCCACTTGACAGGGCAGCATTCACTGCCAGTTTCTCCACGCCATTTCGCCTGAGGAGATGTGCCCACTCCAACTGGTGACTCACCCCAGGCAGGCAGAGTGAGGCATTCTGGGGAGGATATATGTGAAATCTGAATAAACAAACACATATATAAACAAACCACTGCTCCTCCTTGAGAAATGCTGACAGAACATCGCCTGGCCGGACTCTTCTCCCTTACTTTCAGTATTGGACCATATACATGCACCCAGCCACCAGGGGTAAGAGTGATATTACTGACATGCCTGTCCTATTGCGGTGTTTCTCAACTTTTCCTACATCATAGCAGATGATCTAGGAAATTCATTGTTTGACATTCTGGAGGTGACCAGCCTGGGAGCTCCAGCCACCTTAGGCCCTGCCCAGTCAGCCCCAGAAGGCTGAGATCAACAGCTTGAGGCAAACGACCAGAGAAGCTCTTGACAATATGAAGCCGCTGGGTGATCTAACATTTTCTCTGGGGAGCACTCTTAGAGGGAGCTATGAGCTTACACCCACCTCAAGCACATCACAGTCATCAGATACGCTGAATCGCATAAGTGATAGCTCCGGCCTTTTGGGTAAATACAATCCAACACCACTTTCTGTTCTATAATTCAGAGTAGGCGCCCCCTACAGATTAACTATTTTAATCCCTTTAGTTTACTATAAAAACATTTTTTAAAACAAGAACGTAAATTCGAAGCAAATTACTCAAATATCAGATTAAAGTCTTTAGATACAAAAGTACAGTAAACCAAACGACACGTTTATTTTTATGCACATATCGAGACAAAAAATGCCTCGTTTTCTAAAGCATGATTACTATAGAAGGAAATATTTCTGAATATGATTTTATTTGAGTACATTTATATAGTACTGAAAATGCTCCCTCAAAGTTTCCAAAGTACAAAGTTTTCTGCAGAGTACTGTACAGCAATAATGATAAGGTCTCTAGCTTAGCTCACCACCGTATACAAGACTGCAGCATGCTGGAAAATACTGTGAATAAAAATATATGCAGGCTGATTGAAACCCTACTTCAAGATTAAAAGGTGGTAAGTACCAATAAGCATAAGTAGAAACCAAATAGGTCAAGGAGCGTTGAGTATTTAATGAATTCATGTAGCATAAAACAACTGATGCAAATGCATCTGTCATTTTAAAATACAACTGTGAAGAAATATGATTTTACATTGTATTAACCTTGTTACTGGCTTAATAAACATAAAAATATTTATTGAAAAACAAATAAAAATTCCAATGAAATTGGAAGTAGAATCACTTTTATTTTCATAAATAAAAAGATAATTCAGTATATTAACAACACTTTTAGCAGGATATGTTAGTTGTCGTTATCTGGTTTAAACTAAGTATGCAATAGTTAACACAAGTAGTTATTACATCTATGACATTCATGCAACTTCTTTACATTTATTCACTTCCCCAAATTTCGAACACGATTTCAAAGAATATTATATATAATGGGATAGTTAGTCAAAGTGTCACCTTTGCTGAGTCAACAGAATATTTACCATCTGCTTATCTTAAAGTTGCCAATTATTGATTAAATGTTAATACCAGTATTTACTGCACTTTACAGAAGCACTGAGCATATTACATGTTTTCATTCCATATATGGAAGTATGACCCATAAAAATGTCAATATGTGAAATCGACACATATTGTGTCAATAAATTTAGCCTAGTTACTAAATTTTCAAATGTGAAAATTTAGTAACTAATAAGCACTAGTTTCTAAAATAAATAGATCTTACAGGCCAAGAGTAATAAGCTTCCATCAAGTACGGTTTAAAGTTTTGTCAGTAAATGGCATAGAGCACAAAAATACAGGGAAATTAAAGTGTTTTTTCTATAAACAACAAAATAACTGTCTGTTATTACTCCACTGATTCTGAAAACTGCAGCTTCAAATATTAAATGTTATATAGCAAGGAGTAATTAGCATTTCCATATATTAAAAAATAAAACCTGATTCTATGTAGCTTTTTTTCCCATGAGTATAAACTATGATTTAAGTAATCATTTATTTTAACACAATATTCAGTTAGGTATAATCTATTTTTCATAATGAAATGTTTATTCCTATCTCAATACTTTATGCAGATTTTACTTATTTGTCACAGAATCGCTGTGTGGATTCAAAGGTTTATCTATGTAAGTGCTCAGCACGGTGCCTGGCACAGAGTAAGCTCTCAACATACCCTACTATTACTACTTCTATTATTTGAACCAATCTGTCATTTATAAGAGAAAAATTAGGTGATGCCCCAGGAGAATAATCAAAAGAAGATAAACTTACATGTGTGATTTTTTTTTATTAAAGTATTATGTATCCACTATTTCCCAGGTTTGTGTATATATTAAACTATTTCAAATATTACAAGGTATTTTTAAGATATACTGTACCCGTTTGCTCTCTAAGTTTCTGCTATGGCCTTTGGCCTAAAGCAATACAATTCTGACAGGATAAGTGTATTAGAAAACTATATAAAAACCATGTACACTGAAATCAGGTTAACAAAGGCATCTTACTCTAACTTCTGTAACAAAGTAATAGAGATTTACCAGTGTAATTCAGGACAACCGATCTTGTTTAGGCTTAAAGTTCTTTCTTTCCATCATGCATTATTTGACTTCTGCAAAAACATTTTCACTCTGTCTCACACAAATACTAAGAGCTGTTACCAAGGTCTGTCCCCTAAGTAAAAAAGCCATTAGAAAAAAGTACTTTAAAAAATATTGTAGGTTTGCTTACTGAGACTGAAATGAAGTACAGGGCTATCAGCATAAGAGTAAAAGCTCCTAAATGGTCTTCAACATACCTAGAAACACTGATTTGTAAGTAAATTACAGATTCTAACATGTATAAGGGATTTGGTATGAAGATTTTTTGATCTTTAACTAAAAGTGATTTTTTTTCCCCCCAACCAGAAAAGGTAACTGACACAGAAGATAACAGTGCTACAACTGACATAATGGAGAGGGGTAAAAAAACCTTGTCTGTTAAAAACTGACTCCGGTCATTCTTCTGGTATCAAATAAGAGGAAGGAAAATAAACTTTTTTTTGTGAAGACAGAAAAACACACCTGAAACCACATGATTCTGGCCTATAGTGTATTAACCTGAAACTTACTACTACCCAGAATTCAGGAAGAAAAACCCAACCCCCAAATATGCCCTTTAGAAGCACAATAAAAATTTTTCACAGGTTGTCCTGATTAAAAAGGAGTTTGGAAACAAAGCATGAAATACTTCCACTGTGTTAAAAATCAAGAACAAATAAACTGAAGGCAGATTCCCTCTGAATGTACTAAATTAATCTATAGGCTTCAGAGAAATCATTTCAAGAAAGATGAAGTTCCATGGTTTATCTTATTTGGAAGAAAATTCAAAGTGCACACTGTATCAATGTATTTTAGGAGATGTAGCACCCAGTGTCCTTCTGAGGTTTGATATCTGGTTCTTTCACAGGTTTCACAACTTCTTCTGGTTTGGGTTTAGCCTATGGAGAAAGAAAAATACAGTGTAAGTACATAAACTAAGATCTGGAAAACAAACACTAGATCTATTCCACTTCAGACTAATATAAAGATGATATACTAAAATACACAGCATGGAGACTAACAAAGCTGTGCCAGAAGCTACATACAAACCAATTCAATTAAAGACATAACAGGAAAGCAACATTTCAGTGAAGATGAAAACCTGATGGGTAGGCAAAAATCAAGCTAATGGTACTCTTACTCTTTCTGAGGAGGGAGAAACTGAGCCAGCAACCTGTGCACATGGAACCCTCAAGTTGGAAGATTACTTGTGACAGTAACAGGCTACCTCTTAGGACATTATTTAAGAGGCTGAACAGGATGCAAAAACTTATTTTAAGGAATAATGGTTTTAGTATGGGTAGGAAATATTTAAAAAAAACAATTTCAAGGAAGCAGCTATGGCTACAAAATAATTCCCATCCCTTTTTTCACAGACCCCCTCTCTTTGGTAGCCAAACCTCAAAATTTCCACTTAATCTACCATTTGGTTTAGTACACTAAGATGTACTTAGATATAAATGAATAAAAGCACTCTGATTTTACCCCTGGATGATGTCACAGAATGTTGAAATTAGGTCAAATCTTCAAATACCATGCACTATGCTGAATCAAAAACAGCATTGCTATAGCAATATAAACATGGATGAGCCATCCTTTTTAGACCTGTCCTCCCACACTCTTCTTAAAGGAGGCTCTGACGAATTGTAAAAAGGCAAGATAATGTGTTGAAAACAACATCAGTCAACTATGTAAAAAATCAGAAGACAATTAGCGCCTGGAGGTTTACCTCTGAAAGAGTTCAGATTTTACACCAAGCACTGTAATTAGCTAATTTAACATTTAGACAAATATATGCAACTATTTAAATAGAGGACAATATCAAACTGTGAAGTCTGAATTCTCTTTTGAAATTTTTGTGAATGAATGGAAAAAACCCAATCCCGTACACTGTCATCCTTGGGTCTCTGGGTGAGATCAAAAGCAGCCAATGTTTCTGGTGTCCAGTGCATGCTTGTAGGAGGAAATTCGAAAGGTACAGGTTCTACGAGACCATAAACTGCTTTTAGTTCCAGTTGTGGGGCTTCTGTTGGAACTTTTTGAAAGTAACTGCAAAAAGCAATGGAAACAACAATTCATTCAGTTATTTGTTAACTATTTGAGTGTCTATTTATGTCCAAGACCTTGTGCAAGGAAATGACAATTTAATGATGAATTACATAGAGAACAATTTCCTGTCTCACATAGTTTACAGATGAGTAGGTGACAAAGTCAAGAAACCCTGTCAACAACTGTGCAATGTAACTGAAGCTATGAGGGGTGTAGAGTGCCGTGAGAACACAAAAGAGGGGCAATTAAAAGAGGGGCAGATTTGGGGGGTCAGGGATGCTTTCCAAAGGAAGTGATAAAAATTAATCTGGGCACGTTCAAGGATGTGAAAGCACAGCATGACCAGATGCAGAATATAAAGGGAAAAATGCAAGAGACAAAAAGCAGGGACAAAATTAATTCTACAACCTCCATAGGTACTGATCTACAGTTTGAACAACACTGATTTAATAATGGAAAACTGCTTGACAGGCCTAAACAGAACTGACAGAAAATTAATTTCCCTGCTTTATACGTGGCTGAAAACAGAATGAGATGAGTATGCCAAGAGAAGGTATGTATATATAACACACAGAGAAGGAATGGCAGGGAAACAAAGGTAAGAGAAAGTTAGGACAGTAGAAGTGGGCTATATGTTAATAATTCATGTTTGAATTTTTAAACCTGCTTTTATATGTTATCATCAAAAGCAGAATAAAAGTTAGGTCTAACACAAGTGAATTCTATCACCAATTTAAATAGAAAATTAATGCTCGACTTCAATGCAACTTGATATAAAATGTATGGGAACAGAGTCTAACAAACTGTGATATTATTAAAACAATATTATTATTTAAACATAATAAATACGTTCTCCCTCGGTATCTTCGGGGGATTGGTTCTGGGACCCCAGCAGATACCAAAATCCAGAGATGCTTAAGTCCCGTACATAAAAGGAAGTAGTATTTGCATATAACCTACGCACATCCTCCCATAAACTTCAAATCATCTCTAGGTTACTTATAATACCTAATAGAATGTACATGCTATGTAAATAGTTGCTGGCCTGCAGCAAATTGAAGTTTTGCTTTTAAGGACTTTCTAGAATCCCCCCTCCCTGCCCCCCCATATACTTTCAATCTGCAGTTGGTTGAATTGCGGATGTGGAACCCACAGATTACAGAGGGCCAACTGCACATACTATACCGATTACTAAAATCATACTGAGCTGTACTCACATAAATCCATTTTCTCTCTGACATTTTTCAAGGGTGTTCTTCACAAGATTTCCAAGTTTCCTAAAGAACAAGTGTCCTGAAGGTTTGACTGTTGGTCCAGGGCCTTTGGTTTCTCCATATTCTTTGCATAATGCTTCTGCCTTTGCATAAACTGCATGTGAAAGGGATATACAGTCATTTGATTATAATTATTGATTATTTATACTAAAAAGGCTATTAATCAGAGATGCTCTTTAACTAGCATAAGAGCACTACCAACAATAGTATAAGGGGTAGGTAGGTATTTTCTACAAGTTCTAGGTTTTCGAAGCACTTTTTTCTTTTCTCCAATTCCTTCACTGATTCTCATTCCCTTTCATGAACTCCGCCAAAATCTCTTTTAACTGCCCATTCCCTTCATGATTAAACATTAGTTTTTAAAAGAGGAGTTAATATTCTGGCAGGAATACTTACATTTTTCTGCCTCTTGAAGAGACCTGATTGCTTCACCACATTTATCACTAGCCAACAAAGTCTGACCATGATAACAATAAGCCTGATAAAAGAAACAAATTTTTATTCATTCTCTCCTCAAATGCTTTCCACTATCATCGTTTTCTATATGCATCAAAGAAATGCCTTTGTCCATTGTTTGAAGTATCAATGCAGTCCCTTACATCTCTTTACTTGAATAAGCTTCCCCCTATCTCTGTTGGTATATAAAGTAGAATTATGTCAAGCCTTGAGCCAAACTAGCCTTCTAACCATGGACTGAGAGCAAAAACTATTTGCTGAAACCTGTTTTAAAAATTAGGGCAGAGGGGATAAAGGAGGGAAATTAGTGTGCTAATACAGAGGGAGAAGGAGGGAGGATTTGAGGTTAAGGACTAAACAGGTCTTAAGAAAAATGTTACCAGGCTGGAATAGAACATGCTTATTCTTTAAACGTCTACCATCAATGCAGGGATTGCACATGGTCTTATGCAGTGTGTTTGAAAGCAGATTATAAGGTATAAGAAATCTTATTTATGATTCTTCACCAACCCAGGTGATACACTGTATGGGTAAGTCTTTAGATTAGCATTAGTAAATATCTTTCTCAGTGAACAGGACGAAACAAGAGAATTCTCATGAAGTTTGCAGAAGGTTCCAGCTTAAAAGTGGGTTTGAATCAAACAGTAATTCCATTGCTATAACCCAGCTCTACATCATCTCCTTCCACTCGCTTTACTCCACAATGGCTGCACTGACTATCAGGGAACATTTACTGAGAGCTGTCCATTATCTGTAAAATGCTAACGAAGAGTCAGGCGAGATGACAGAACTGGTGTTCGAGGGGGTGGAGAGACAGTAACTTACATTGTTTCTCGGCTAAAAATACTTACATAAGCTGTGTAGAAACACATTTTCAAGTGAAGATATTTTCTCCATTTAGCAGAGTATGCAGGCTCCAAACTGGATAAAGCATGATCTAAAGTTACATTTTAAAAAGCAAAATATAATTTCACCCTGATTCACTAGGAGACTTACAGCTTATGTGTTCAGATGCTAAAAGCAGCAGGCCATTCAAGTCTAAAACTCAAGCATTTACACTTTAAAAACCTTGCTTTGGGCTTCCCTGGTGGCGCAGTGGTTGGGAGTCAGCCTGCCGATGCAGGGGACAAGGGTTCGTGCCCCGGTCCGGGAGGATCCCACATGCCGCGGAGCGGCTGGGCCCGTGAGCCATGGCCACTGAGCCTGCGTGTCCGGAGACTATGCTCCGCAACGGGAGAGGCCACAACAGTGAGAGGCCCACATACCACAAAAAAACCCCCAAAAAACCCCCTTGCTTTATTTAAAGTGATTTATTTAATTAATTTATTTAGATTTGATGGTTAATGCAATTTAATTTTGAGATAATGATAAAAATAGCAATGACTAAGAACTTCAAAGTAATTACGAATACTATTATAGTATCTCTTTCCAACCTTTTTCATAATACAGCAATGCCAAGAGTAGTCTAGTCACCCAAGTCAGAAGCAAGGATACTCTCCTAACCCTCATTCACCACCCCATCCCTGCATCTTGTATAAAACACACATGCTCATATATCCTACCAAACACCTTTCGAATGTATTTCTTCCTCTCCATTTCCTACTCTGCTATCTTTGTCAAAACCTTCATCATTTCTTCCATAGTACTTAGGAAGAAATGATTATAGTTTAAGTAGAGTCAGCCTACTACTCCTTCACTAGTAAGCCCAGTTCTCATCTTGCAATGATAGGGACCTTTCTTAAATTCAAGTCCAGTCAAGTCAGATTGACTTTACTATACCTTTTAAGGGGTCCCAAATACCTACCGAATGAAGGCCAAACTTCTCAGACAGGCTTACAGACCAATTCATAGCCTCACATATGCACACTTTCATAACCTTTGCTCCTAGCTCTCATCCTGTTTCAGCTAAAACATGTCTCAGTCCCAGAATGTGCTAAGTTCTTTCTAATCTCTGTACATACTACAGAATGTTCTACTCTTCCCATATGCTAAAGCATCCCAGCAAACCTAGAATTTCTATTTCAAAATAAGGCTAAACCATCACCTTCCTCTAGAAAGCCTTCTCTAGCATGCCCAGATCCTTTAGGTTTTAATTTCACCCCGGTAACCACACCTTATTTCATACTATAATAATGTGGTTACATGTTTGTCTCCTTCCCTAGACTATGAATCTGTATACCTAGCAACTAAAAGAGTAACCATCTGATAAATAGAAACATATGCATGTTTCCTAAATAAGTGACTGAAAAGAATAATACGTTAAGGAGAAGACCTGAGTGCTAGTCGCAGCCTCCCACCTGCTAGCAGTTAAATTACAGATTAGTTATGTTAATTCTCTGGATTTGTTTCTTGTCTAAATAAGGATAGTAACTACAAGGTTATAAAGACCAAAAACATTTCAAAAGAAAAATAGCTGTTTAATTATTAGATGTAACTGGTTAAAAAGGATAGCATCGTCCTTTTCACTAGGAGTTATGGAGCATATTAACCGTGAACAGCTCTAATTCTTTTATTTCCTTTTAAACAAGATTAATAAAATAGTGCAGCTATTACTACAGCTTTGCAAAAGATGAACCAATCTGAGAGTCCTTTTGCTTTGCTTGTTCCCTACTAAGCCAAGAGCTTAATGTGAAAATCTAAAGACTAAAAATAGAACTTACCAGCTTTTTGATAGAAATTGGCTGTTTCATATGCCAGGGCAGCAATTAGTACAGGAGCATGTTTCAGTTCAATTGCTCGAGCAATTGTTACTATAACCAAAACACAATGAAGTGAATGTATGATTAAGTTCACTTGCATTTATCTTAAGTTCAATTATAATAGCAAAAGACAGTCTGATATCTATTCGGGACTTTAATACAGTTTGTTAAAAGTTTTAACATGAAAAGTAAGCTACAGAAAATGCAAACATAAACAAGCAGAAAACACTGAGCTTGTTGGTTCTGATACCACTTCCTTAAATAAATCACCAGCCAATTACTAATCACAGAAAACCCCTACTACAAAATCGCATGATGTAAGAGGAAACAAATACTTTCAGGGCACTGGAGTTTGAAATAAAGAAAAACAAAAACCAACAGAGTTTCTTTATTGTTTTCACGTAAGTCTTCATTTATTTCCTGCCACTGAAAGGCAAAGATTTCAAGGTAAGCCAAACAGTGGAAGCAGAAAAGAAATGAGCAAGGTAGAGTGGGGGGAAAGATGAGTTATAGACTTAATTATGCTGCCAGAAATGGCATGAAATCAAAATCCTCTTAAAAAGAATTATTAAACTGTAAGGCCTTTTCCAGCTAATGAAAAATGAAGGCAAATGCTAAAGGTAAAAGTCAATTTTTTAAATTCCTCACTATAAATTTCTCAAATCCTGAAACTCCAGCAATTCCAGCTAATTCTGATTTTAAAAAAAAGAATTAATGCCAATATAGACCTTCTTTAAAAAATCTTACAATATTTAAGATACCTTCTTGAGCTTCGGCTTGACATTGGATAATGTAAGCTTCTATGAGTCGTGCCTCTAAATCCCTCCCCTTTTCTGCAGGTGTAATTAATTTTGGGATATGACTTTCCTGAGAGAGAAAGAAAAAAAAACAAAGAAGCCAAATTTTTATTTTAACTCAGATGTTAGAAAGAAAACTGAAGTTATGAGATATTCAATTTGGGGATTTTTCAGAAATTTAGGGTACAAAGTGTAAAACGGAGCAATGTTAAGCTTACAGAGCATAAAAGTTCCTGTACACGAAAACTTTTAAAGCTTTTTATAAATTTTTGTAAAAATAAGAAATTCAAGAGCAAAATTTGGGTCATTCTAAATTGCTTAGATATGCAAGTCATATTATCAACTTAGAAAATGTTTAACTGAAACGGAAACAAAATTTCCCTTTTGCATGACAGCCGGAACTGTTCATTCACATTAATGATAGCAGATATAAAGAAGACTACAGTTCTGTAGCTCACTCAGGATCACAGCTTTTTCATCACCATAAAACTATCTTATCATGAGAAAAATGCAACACTGGCCTCCAGGGGCCTTCAGTAAATAGTAGTTTAATTAGAATGAGGTGGGGGTAATTCTGGTTGGAAAATACGTTCGTCTTTCTCCTAATTCTCATCACATCTCCAGGCAATTTAATGTAATTAGTGTGTACTGATTGCTCCGCTGGCATTTTCACTGAAATACAGAGAATATACTCAGAAAATCTGGTTTTGCAGAATCATGATTGCTCCTGGCAACTGCTGCATACAGCAAGGGAAATGCTCAGAACTATCAATTTTTGTGCTTTGTTTTCTCTCATCTTTTCAGAAGAGACTGAAAAATAAGCAGTGAAGTACCACTTGCATCGTCTAATTGTAAAATTCACTGATGATTTTCTGAAGTGGAAACACTTAATATTCTGTAATTGGCTGCACTCATCAACAAGGTACTTAACATAAGGAAAACAGAACACATACTAGTTCTTTCTACATGATGAAGTAATTCCTTCACCCCACCCCGCAAAGAATTAAATAAAAATTATTCAAGAATTAAAGCATTAAGAATATATTTTATTATTATTATTTTACCTTTAAATGTTTAAAAATCCCAGCTGCAATTTTTAAGCTTCGATGGACTTCTTTTGCTTCATCCTCTGTTATGCTGAAAGATAGTGGTTACATTAGTTACAGGATGAATCCCGTTTCTGGTATTAAAACCAACAACTAATACATTCTCATAAAACCACAGAAGTTAGTCATTTGTGTTTTTCACTACGTTTTCTTCTTTTTGACACTTAAAAAACTAACAAATGCACATGAAAAATATCCAAAGAGAAGATACTACAAGTGAAAAAGAGAGCTCCTGTTTAGGGGTCTGGAACAAAGGCTTCTTGTTTTTCCTTCCAGATAATCTTCTGTGCATAAACAAGCATAAAAATCAATATACATTTAACGCATGCACATACTTAAAAAACACATACATACACAATATTCACCACTCTGCTCTCGTTTTAATCACCTAAATTACTTCAGAGACAATTTTACATCAGCACATAGAATTCAACTCCATTCTTAAACGGCTGCATATTATTCCCATGTTTAGGTGCATCACAGTTGGTAGCTCCCAGTTTCATATTGCTAATATCCAGTTGTACTATTATAAAAACTATCTCATTTTATTTCACAGTTCCTTAATCCCTCAAAACTTCTTTCACATACTTATAAGGCTTTGTATTTTTCTGTGAATTGCCTGTTTATTTTCGATTTGTTGATCTTTTCCCTGTTGATTTGTAAAAGCATTATAAAAACAATGTCACATGCACTGCAATTTTTTTGACCAATCTGTCATTTGTTTTCTAACTTTGTTTATGGTACTTTACGTGGTCAAATAGTCAACCCTTTTCTTGGTTTGGGGTTTTATTCAGAAAGACCACCCCCATGACAAGATTATTAAAAAATTTTTCCCTTTTAACAGTGGGCTCCATAATTTTGATACTTAAAATACTAACTTTATGAGGCAACCTTAACATTTATTAGAAGTGATACTTTTTATCAGTACCCTAGACTTTTTAATAATGAAGCTCCATATGTTTGAGAAATAATACATATGCACATAACCCTTCCCTTTTAACTTACTTTTCTTTTCCAGCCAGTCTTGAAGCATATTTGGTATACCATAAAGCTACATTAAATCCCATGGAAATTAATTCAAAAACAGCATCCTGCTGGGCACTAGAATTATAAACATGATCATTAAGTACTGTCAATGACTGAGACATCTCTATATGAAGCCTGCTATACATCTTACACAAAATCATAAAGAGCTAAATGCTAACTGAAAAAATGAAGAGTCCTTGTGTTTAATATAGGTTGGGAGGTAAGACACAAGCACACACACACACAATTAACACTGAATGACTAAACATAATGGTCCACGATGTACTTCATAATAGTAAACATGAGAATAGTAGTTCCCAAAGGTTGCTGTACATTGAATAGTTTTAAAAATACAGATTACTGGAACTTATCCCACAAAGAAAGTCTGGGAAGTGCCCAGAATCTGCATTTTTAACAAGTATCCAGTTGATTCTGGAGCAGGTGATTCTTACACCACATTTTAAGAAAATGGATTTCAGAGGAGAGATCATTTCAGGCTAGAATGGTTAAAGAAGGCTTAATGGTATAAACAGAGTTTGAATTGTGCCTTGAAAGATGGCTAGAACGGAAGCAGAAGGACATCCCAGATGAGGGAATGATGCTGTTAACGCACAAGAAAGGATAAAGATTTTTCTGGTGGCAGTAACCCAACTAGCTTGATTGAAGTTGCCAGTTCATAGAGAGAACTCGAGGAGCAGGAGAGCAAAAAGCCAAGCTGATGTGAAACGGTAGAAGATTCTGAAGGCCAAGCCAACTGGTGTACTACAAAGAAAAAGGTCTCAAAGATAAGTGTATTTTATATCTTGTTTCCTTCAGATTCTATAACTAAACATGACACAAAGATGGCAAAATGCTCACAAAGCAAGTATTTTTATTCACTGTTGTTCTGATGAGGCCCTGAAAATTCTTTATACACATTATCTCACTTATCTCAAATGATGAAGTAAAAAACCTGAAGTACACATATAATACTAATAAAGATACAGAAAAATTACCCAAAGGGAAGAAACGAGAATCATGATTCTGCTTTGTATTTTTTATTTAATTGCTGCCTCCATCTTAGAAGGAACAGAGACATGGAAACTTTTTAGATTAAAAAAAAAAAGATTTGTTACAAAACATGTAATTAAAAAATACCTTATAAACTACCCTGCTTAATATACATTATAACATACAAAAATATGACAGTTATGAACAAACTTCTTAAAACAGTTTACCATGCCAAAAAAATATAATGCATAGTTTAACGGCTTATTCTTTCCGCACTGGGCACTTTCCAACGAATTACATCTACTAATTACATCTAGTAATTCTAGTAATGGTGATCTAAGAGGCATATCTAATTTATAACTTTATCTTTAAATAATAAGATAGTTTTGCTAATTTTTATGGGGTCTCATGAATAGCTCTCTCCTGTTTACCCTTCGTTTATTTCAATCTGCCTTGCTCCCAAACACTCCATTTCTATTGTACTACATCTAGGTAGTAGTTAAGAGTGTATACAGTTGAAAAAACATTTTTCAGAAGATATACTCACAGCACTTTTCATTGAGTAAGTAGCAATCAAGGATTAAATAACTTAAAAATCTCAGATGTACTGAATACTCAACATCCTAACTTAAGGCCTTTATCACATAATTCTTCACTGTCTCATAAAACTATGCTGAGAAATGCTGTCACAAGGAATGAAAATTTAGCATGGTGGGGAAAACTGCCAAATTTATGTAATACAAAACACTTTGGAATCTGCCAAAGTTTTGTAATGTAACAATGGTAGAGGTTTGATTCTTTAAAAAAAGTTTTTAAGGAAAATATTCCTTAATTTTAGATGAAGTACAAAGGGGTACATAAAGCAAAACAGAAAATGAGAACTTACTTGGAAAACCTTGGTATCCCAGAATATTAAAATTTGGAAAGGACCCACAGTCCACAACTTCCTACCCAATTTATGAATTCTATTATATACAATATTCCCAAGGAAGGAAGGAAGGAAACTAACATTTATTGAATGTCTATTAATGCCTGGCATTATATCAGCCCCTTAATACAAAATTTCCTATTTTGTTCCTCACAAAAGCCCTATACCTGTAACCCCAACATACAGTTGAGGAAGCAGATGTTCACACAGGAGAAGCTCTGAGGCTGATCTACGTGTGTATGAATCCAAAGTCCACACTCCTTCCACTGTAATGCCTGCCCTGGTTGTTTGCCAATCCCCATTTCCTTCCCTTCTGATTTTATAAAACGGTTAATTCTGAAGCAAATTGAGATAAAGAGATATAACCAATGGTGTTAAAAAAAAAAAGTAGTTAAAAATTTAGCACCATTATGATTGGTTTCCTGTTATAATTAGATCTAACTAGTTTCAAGTGAATGATGAGAAAGTTCTGAGGGGAAGTTTTTAAAAAGAGCAGAAACAGTGAAATTAGGAAGAAAAACAAATACAGTACTGTCAGTCAAAAGAGTATGGAGCTGGGGTGGAACTGGGGAGAAAGAAAGAAGGAGATTGACCAGAGACATCAGAAAAGGAAAGTAGTGGAGAAAGCAAAGTTCTGCTCTGCTTGGATGGAGGCAAAGATCAAAATCTAGGTTTGGGTTTCAAATTCCCAAACCATTCTTTGTGTGTTATTAAAAGTCAAGGCTGCTCAATCTAGTTAACATTTATATTGATTATCTCAAAAATGATTTGGTCCAGAAGAAACAAATTCTGTTTGTACTTAATAGACTGCATTAAGAGTTTAGGTCAAAAGTTTTAATTTCCTGATAAGGCAAAGATGCTGATCAGACTTACATTTTACTTCTTCCACACAGAGGCTACGAGTTAATCACTAGCTAAACAGTTACAAAAATGGCTTGAATTTAGTACTGTTGGTGCTGCTTACCTTGGAACCTGTCCCTGTAATGTATCAGTCCACTTGAAATTTTGAATATATCGTAACTTGCTTTCTTGGGTAGATTCATCCAATGAGTTAATGAAACCTATAAAAAGGTAGAAAACATTTTCAGTTTTACAGAAAATATCACGTGTCTGTTTAGAACATTTTTCGGAGAATGACTTTTTCAGATACCCGAATGAAACTCCCAGCCCCTCTATACCCTTCTCCTAAGGTAATATAATATGAAATATGCACACATTTAATTTTCAAAATGTTAGAAAGACCACATACTACCTTTACATTCTCACATTTCTGATACTCAAGCATACTGAAGAATATAACCTAGAAGACTAAACTATTCAAATCTGAAAAGTCTAAGAATCAAATATGAACTTCTACATAGTTGACTTTTAAAAACTTAAATTGATTTAAATAACTAACCTTGTAAAAGTGAAAAATATGAATCTGCTGCATTCTTCATCATTTGTGGATTACAGTTCAAATCAGTGAACAATTCGAGCAGTCGTGCTCTAGACGATCTCAAGTCACTTAAATGAGACAAAAGAGATAGTAATGTTAAGTAAGCTGTATTACAATGAATCTATGTAAAAGTGGCTTAAAAGTTTCAACTGTAAAAGCTTAAACACACACACACACACCCCTTCCTCTAAGATTACTAAGTATACAGGAATGAATTTAATTAGGACTAACACTGGAGGTAAGTGAAATTTCCAGTAACAATTGTTTTAGAAGTTGTACTAAAATAAACTCAGTCCAACTAAAGGAGCAAATCATGAATACAATTATATAATAAAAATACACAGCAAGTTTTAATTTTAAAAAATCAAACTAACACAAGCTTTTAAGACAGGAGGAAAGAATTACGAATGAGTAAATTAATCTGACCAGTTCACAATAGAAGTTTTTTGAAAAATGGAAATTTAACATTTGTACATAATTTTAGTATCCCCTTACAATTTCAAAATTTGACATTATGTCAAAATGTACTTAAGTACAAAACCATATTTTAAAATTGCATTCTATAATACAACACACACACAAACAGGCAAAAACACGTGGCCACTAGTCATTTTAAAACTGCTCCCTCGTCTCCATTCTCCTTTGCTTCTCTGCAGCAATAAATGTTGCAGACATTTATTGTTTCTTTCTCGAAATTCTTTTCTCCCTTGATTCCAATAACGCCAAATTTTCCAGATTCTCCTCTTATCTCTAGAAGTTCCTTCTCTATTTTCTTCCATGTCCCCTTCATACTCCCACCTCCAGAAATGTTCAGCCTTTGGCTTTCTGCTCTTCTCTCTTCTGAGGTCTCATCTACGAGTATAACTTTACATCTAATCCTAGATCTACATTATCAGCTCTAACTTGGTCCTGTTCCAATTACACATCTTCTTTCAGAAGGCAACTTGCTTAGCGAGGGATCCAGAAATCATATTACATGGACCATGACTAAAGACAATTGGGTGTAAATGACTAAAGACTAAATTTAAATTGTAAGCACCAAGACAGTAGGGACTGTATATCCAGAACTTAGTGTCTGGGATAAAGCATATACTCAAATTTCTGTGTCGAGTGAAGTAATACTAACATTTCAAATATTTTAAGATTTAGAAGGACTGTAAGTAGCACTGATGTTTACAAAGGAGCACAAACTTAAACCTTAATGGTCTAGATGGAAGGTTTATTGGTACCAGCTCTAAGGAGGCTGATTCCAAGAAAGTATATAGTAACAACTATATACAGCTGACCAAAAATGGGATGGGCTACCTTATGAATCTGTCATTGTTGAGTTATTTAATTAAAAGCTGGGAGGGATAATTCTTGGACTCGGAAAAAAATATGAATTTTTTTTTTTTTTTTCCTTTTGGTCGTGCCACGCAACACGTGGGATCTTAGTTCCCCAACCAGGGATCGAACCCGCGCCCCCTGCATTGGAAGCGCAGGGTCTTAACCACTGGACCACCAGGGAAGTCCCCAGAATTTGAATCCTTAAGGCCTATTCTAGACTCGAATACTTTGCTACCTATTTCCAAGTAGGCATTCAATCATCCCCTGCAAATCAACTTGTGCAAAATTATATTCATATTAAAATGACAGAATTCGAGAAAAGTGTACCTTAGAAGTATCTAATTTAGGTTATTAATTTTACAGATGAGTAATTTTACAGATGAGTAATTAGTAAGAGACTTGCCCAATGCTACAGATAAAACAGTTAAGCTGGGACCAATGTCTAGGATTAGGGGTTGGCAAAGTACAACCTGTAACTTGTTTTTATATGGCCCCCAGCTTAATTCTGCAAAAATGAACAAAGAAGAATATCCAATAGTGACTGTGTGTAGCCCACAAAGCCTAAAATATTTACTATTTAGCCCTTTACAGAAAAAGTTTGTTGACCCCTGGTCTAGATCAACCTTTTGCTCCAATTACTTCTTTTCACAAAAAGTAGCAATTCTCTTGGTTTTCCTTTACTGGTACCACCAATGTCTTGATCATCTAGGTTCTGTATCTCATAGACTAAATGAATCCTTTTCAACTTTCCAGAGCAAATGAGACATCTGGCCAGTTGATGCCTCCTTCGAAATCTCTCTTGCATCTATCTCTTTTGTGCCAGTTAAACTGCTCTACTCATACTCCCTAGAACAAAGGTTTACCTAACAGAAATGACTTTCTCTTCTCCCTTCTTACTATCTTAAGTCAGGGGTCAGCAAAGGATAAATATTCTAGGCCTAGTAGGTCATAAAGTCTCCCCTGGGAATACTCAATCTTACTGTACACAGGAAAGGCAGCCATAGACAATATGTAAATAAGCGGGGGGGGGCGCTATGTTCTAATAAAAACTTATTTTTATGAAAACAATCACTGGGCCAATCTGCAGGACACAGTCTGGCAACCCCTGATCTAAGCCATACAATGCATTTAAACCCCAGCTCAAGTCCTCTCTGCTACTGAACACTCTGAAGGCTATTTCAGGTCATAGGGACCTCTCCCTGCTCAGAACTCAATTAATTTACTATCTGACCAATGAACAATATCTATAAATGACTTTGTGGAGTCTCTTGTACTGTTGTAACATATAGCTTAACTCTTTTAATTGTGACTGTTTAGCCTCTCTGGGACTCACTCACTGACCTAAACTTGAGGACCCAGTTTAAATAATCTATGATTTAACTTTTCACATGTCATTTATAAGTTTATAAGGAGTCTAAGGTTAGGGACAGTGTGTTACATACTTGTGCATTGTACATGACCCTAAAAAAGTACCTCGTATCCATGGGTGGCTCAATCAATACTTGTGAAGACTGACAAACTTACCTGCAAATTTTTGAAGCAGCAGGGCCAGTGACTACACCATAATAGTTAAAAGGGACAGGAGCTGTGGCTTTTAATGGGTTCCTATGAAACCAATGTGTCATTCTCTCCAGGTGTTTCCTATTGACAAAAAACAAATGTATAAAAATTAAAGATAAAACATTTAATAAGCAGTATAAATCATATTAAAATATTTTTTAAAGTAAAAGTTGAAAATTACTACAGGATATATACATTTTAATATATAAAACACATATACATAAATAAAATGCTTCACTGCCATACATCAATCTCGTTTTAACTGTCTGTTTATAGCAGCCTATGCTTAGATCAGGCCTGTAAAAAAAACAGCATTTGTAAATGTGCTCACAGTAACTGCAACGCTGAAGATATTGGAGCAGTAATGTTTAAACTTTAATGTGTATAAAAATCACATCGGGGCAGGAGGTGGGGGCTTCTTGTTAAAATGCAGGTTCTAATTCAACAGTCTGGGGTAGGACCTGAGATGCTGATGCTGCTGGTCCCCAAACTACACTTTTGAGGAGCGGAGTACTTGACTTTGGTTGGACAGATGCAAATGAGAAGGGCACAGGAGCAGAGGAACGTGATTCCGAAAGAGGTTTAAATGGTGACCCTTATTTAGACTGCTAAGATTACTTGACAGAAATAGGTTTTAAATTAACTGTATCTCCCACATGATATTTGCTGATGCCAACTGATTGGCTGTAGCATGTGTTCTATAATAAATATACTTTCCACAGAACAGCTAATAAGAATCAATATTTTCATGATAAAAAACCCCACATGGGGCTTCCCTGGTGGCGCAGGGGTTGAGAGTCCGCCTGCCGATGCAGGGGACATGGGTTCGTGCCCTGGTCCGGGAAGATCCCAAAAGCCGCGGAGCGGCTGGGCCCGTAAGCCATGGCCGCTGAGCCTGCGTGTCCGGAGCCTGTGCTCCGCAACGGGAGAGGCCACAGCAGTGACAGGCCCACGTACCACAAAAAAAAACACAACAAAAACACATGATACTTGATCAATAAAATCTATCCTTAAAATGGTAAAAAATGGCTGAATTATGAATATATTTAGCATGTGCAACTGAAGAAACCTCAGGTAGAGTTGGAATTGGGACAGGCCTGTGGGGGGGCTCTCAGGAAGGTACCTCTTGGTTACTATCAGAAGGAAGAAGAAAACTTCTCTCCATCCATGGCAGCTCAGCCAGTCAGACTGTAGCAGGCCAACCAATGAGAAGCCTCCATACTCTGGACCCCCAGGTTCCTCCAATGGACTCTCTGGTTATTACAGTCCCTCCCAACTCTTCTCTTTTCCCTATAAAAGCATGTTCCCCTTGCTTGTTCTCTGTATTTGCTTATGGTCACCCATCTTTGCATATCGCTGACTGTGATTTCTCTGCTAGTCCCTAATAAACTCAGTTTTGTTGGTTAAAAAAGAAAAATAATAATAATATCAATCCTTAGAACATACTTGTGGTTGACAAGGGGGAGGGCAGGTAGGGGAGGGAAGGACTGGGAGTTTGGGATTAGCAGATGCAAACTAGTATATACAGGATGGATAAACAACAGAATCCTACTGTATAGCACAGGGAACTATATTCAATATCCTGTGACAAACCATAATGAAAAAGAATATGAAAAAGAATGTATATATGCATAACTGAGTCACTGCTGTACAGGAAAAATTAAACACTGTAAATCAACTATACTTCAATAAATTTAAAAAAATAATGTCTATCCTTAAAAACCAAAACATTTAAAAAACTACCTAAATGCCAACTTAAAAAAATTAAGTTCCACACCTTTCAGGTTAAAAAAGAAAAGAAAAAAGGAGTGTGTCACTTGCTTAAAAGTCCTTGGGAAGATAGCGAAGACAATACAGGAGGGTGTAGTTGAAGACTTAAATATGGCAATTAGATTTCGGGAAGTGGGAGACAAAATCGGTAGGATTTAATTAATTTGAAAGCATTATATACAATGTTGTCCATGGATTCTTCTTATCGGGGAAAAAACGTGGGCTGCACAGTGTAAAAAATATCTACTTTATGCACCTCCCTTACCATATTTATTCATGGCAAAACCGGCTTTGGAGAGCACCAGCTATTTAAGGATGAGGAAACGCACTGTGTATTCAATGAAAAATTGAGCAAGTTCATTTGCGTAACTCAAAACATTTAACAAGTCCTTCAAAAATATATAACCTTCTAAATATCATCCACGTAAATCTCCTTTATAACCTAAGTAAACTAATACTGCATTTCTGTGCATATAAACCAAGCCTCCCAGAGATAATGGCACACAATACATTTGACCGTGACAAATTTTCCATAAATACTCTTTTAAGGCGGCCTCCCACGTCCTGTATGAAAATGTCTTAAGTTCTGTATATCTTTACTTCAGGACCGAAGACGGTAAGTACCATGTTCTCTACCCCTACCCAATCTGTCCCGTCAGAGACCCGCACTCCAGTTTTCAAGAATTCGAAGGGCGGGGTAAAAGCACGACACACCCACCTGCAGGTGCAAGGAAGGGTGCCGTTGAAGCCACCAGCACAACAGTCGGATCGAGGCTGCCACCTAACCCGCTGCCACAGGAAGAGTCCGATTACCGACAAAGGTTCCCCACTCCGGTGACCCTGGGTCCCGCGACGAACCAACCGCCCCCGAGCTCCCAACGCCCACTTCCTGTTTACCAGCCTCTTCCTCCCGGGCCCAGTCCGGTTTAACGCCGTTAAGACCTTGCGCAGGCGCACACCTTACCGTGCCCCTCCTGAACAGGCATTTTCGTGGAAAGCCGATACTATCTACCCGGGAGAGGCGGGCGGAAGGTGCCTAAACAAACTCCTATGTAGCCATAAGACCCTCCCCCCGCCCCCAACTGCTAGTGGAGACGCGGGCAAGGCGATTCAGTAAATATAGCTGTTAATACCATTGATTCGTGGGGCTAATGTGAATTTCTTTCTCTCGTTTGTTTCAAGGTACTTTTTACACAGGTTCCATAGACTCCCGGATAGTGGTCCCCAAAAATCTCCTTCTAGTGCCTTGAAACATTTGAAGGAGACTTTTGGGGACCACTATCCGGGAGTCTATGGAACCTGTGTAAAAACCTTGACCCTATTGCTTGGGACTCTGGGGAGACGACAGGGGTAGGGGTAGTACTGGGAAACGCCCATCCTCATGACATACTTACCGGATTTCTCGATGTCTGTACAGCACCCCTCCAGAGGGAAGAAAGGCAGTGTCCGAGTCCGCAAACGAGAAAGGGAGGGAGTCGCAGAGCCCGGATTACCGAACTTGAGCGACGGAAACCAGGCCTGCGGGAGCCGATCACGTGGTCAGGGCGGCCATGACAGCTACCGAGGCGGCAGTGCGCGCCGCTCTTGGGTTGAGGCTGCCGCGTTGTCGCAGTCCCCTTAAAACACTCCGTCCCTCAGCCCTTTCTTAGATATTCCTCCACAGTCTTCCCTCTTGAGCTGCGGTCTCCTCCCGAAACAAAGAGCAGAGATGGCCGGGCCTCCCACGCCGAGGCAGAATGCCGCAATAACAATGGCGGCCGCTCGGTGGAGCGGGGCGGCCTCAACCTAACACGAGGCGGGGCCTCGGGGGCGGAGCCTCGGCGGGGCGGCCGCTTCAGAGCCGCAAAGTTTGGCTGTGGCGGCAAATGGGCTTGGGCGGCTCCTTGGCGGGTGGTGGCGGTGGCCGTAGCGGTTCCTCTTGGCCCTGTTAATGTCGGGGCCAGGCCCGGGGAGAATGGCGCCCTAGAGCCCGGCCTTGCTGGGGTAGGGGCGGGAGGGGACGGGGTGGGGACCGGCCATGTCGGAGGTGACCCGAAGTCTGCTGCAGCGCTGGGGCGCCAGTTTTAGGAGAGGCGCCGACTTCGACTCTTGGGGCCAGCTGGTGGAGGCGATAGACGAGTATCAGATGTGAGTGACTAACCGCGGGAGCGGGCCAGACCGGCTACAGTCGGCCGCCTCCCGCTTCTTTCTGTCAGTGTCTCTCATCACTGTATCTGCAGCCAAGGCTTCTCAGGGTGGGGCCCCGCAGGCGCTGGGGCTGAGATCCCACTGGCCCTGGAGACCAAGGTCCGGTCTCTGGGGTTTTTCGCTCTCCGCCTCAGCAGGGCCAGTTCCGTGCAACAGGTAGCCCTTCTCTCCTGGGGCGCCAGCCCATTCAGGCTACCTACTGAGTTCCTTGCCGCCGTCTCATGGGTGCCCCGCTCTGCAGTCAGTTTCCTTTTCCCCTCTCCTCCGCCTCTCTCAGGTTGCCGCCCCTCAGTTTCTCTTTTAGAATCTCGGAGGAATACTTGTGTGTTCTCCGCCCACGTCCCCGGGATGAGGGGCCTCGCTCTGTGTACGGTGCCTTCCTCCTCCCCTGTGTAGGGCAGGAGGGAACTGGTGGCGATTGAGGGGAGGGGAGGGGGTGCCCCCAGGAGGTAGCGAGGCCGGAGGTATCTCCTCAGCCCAAAGAAAGGTCTCCTCTCGCGCCCCTTCTCCATCCCTCTTTCTGGGGAGCCGTGTTTTCCCAATTCACCTCGATTCCGTTTCGGTTTCTGGGACTGTTATTTGCTAGGCTGGGTGAGTCTCACCCACCCCCTCGCTCGGTTGCTCTGGGTGGAGTCCCTGCAGGATGTGAACAGAAGAGAGCAAAATGTGAATTAATAGACCACGCACAGGAGTCACCACAGCCTCCTTGGGTCCCTCCTCCTTTTCCTGTGTATAAAGTATAGCCGCAGGGTACATGTGAGCACCAGGTTCTTTGATCTACCCAAGTCCGATTTCTTTCCCTTTATGGTTTCCTCCCAAAACTTCAGCGGTGTTTTTAAAATTAAAAGACAAGGTTTGCGTATATATTAAACCTTGCTTATAGTTTCTTGCACATTTTACTGAAAATAGGAACTGCCTGCTGAAATGCTGTTGTTTGCAAACTGTTGCCAGTAATTACTTCTTGGTTTAAAGCAAGTTATTGTTCGAAACCATGTGTAAGTAAAATCCACGCCCCTCCCCCCGCCCCAGCGTCTTTTGGAAAGAATACACGATTAGTGCTTGGAAGATCTAAATCCTGTATTCTTTTTCTACAATAGTTACTTGTGTTTATCTGACCATTAAGATAATTTAAATGCGTGGATGTTCTCTATCTCATCTTACTGACTTTGAATTGCCTGTAGTTTTCAAAAGCCCTGAAAACCACCATGGTTTGGGGCATTTTGCCATGTGTAACAACTACTGTCATTTGTTTTGCACTTTCACTTGATTTCACTTTACTCTTGCAACTGCTTGGTGAGAATATTATTATTTTCATTTTGCAAATGAGGAAACTGAAGCTCAGGTTAACCGGATTACCTAGCGTCACAAAACTATACTGCTGAAGTCTGGGTTGTTTGTTTGTTTGTTTTTTTCCCAGTTCCAAATCCTGTCTGCTCTACTATGTAGTGTTTAAGGCATTTATTAAAGATGCGTTGTATGAGTGAATTGGGCAAATTAGAAGACTTCCTTCATTCCCAGAGAATGTAGCCTTCCATACTGTAGCTGGTTAGATAGTGAGCGCCCATGTATACTCATTCTGCGTTAACTAAACTTGCGTAGCCTGAAATCTAAAGCTGCCTCTCACTTGTGATGGTGGGACATCGCAGCTGTTGGCACTCAGCAGCAGACCTCACAATGGAAAGTGAAGAATACCATGTCCAATTGAAATTACAAAGGAAAATTGAATATGCAAGCTGTTTAGCTGGAATTTCTAAAAATATCTCAGCAAGAGAGTAATGGGCACCAACAAATCTATTGTTGAACCTCATTACTAACCTTGAACTTCATGATTCAGAGTAATTCTAAAATTACGATAAAAACCACCAGTGTCAAATTTGAATAGAAATATGTGATGATTGGCTTAAATTTTGTAAACATACAGGCTACATACACGATGTTGAATTTAAAATTAATACACTCAAAAATGAAGGCCAGTTGTCTTTTTTTTATTTGAATTATCTGTGAGAAAAGGAGACCATTTGGGGGCCACTAAATGATGTGAAAAAGAATGGATGGGATTTAGTAACTGACTAGATACTGAGCGAGAAGAAGGAGAAGTCTGGGAGAACTGGCCTTTCTGACCGCAGAGGCAGCTGTCTTTACAGCTGTGCAACACACAGGAGTGAATTCATGGGATGGGGACCTTGTGGGGGAGGGAGTGGACGTGTTTGTACTTATCGTAAGGTAAGAATATCACAGCTTAAACAGTTGCATCACTCAGCAAGTGAGAGCTGGGCGTATAGAAATGAGTAAGATTTGATATCCATCCTCAAAGTATTGAGTCTAATGGAGGATTTTATTTATTTATTTATTTTTTCATTGTGAGAAATGCTGGAGGATTTTAGAATAAATGGGTATTGCTAGTACAGAAGTAGGAAAAGAGTAAGTGCTACCACACTCCTTGCTGTTTCCTGAAGCATGCTTCTGCCTTAGGGCTTTTGTACTTTTTCTGGAACACTCTTCCCCCATTATCTGCTTGGGCCGGTTGATCACCTCCTTCAGGTCTTTGTCCAAATATTATCTCTGCGAGGCCCTCTCTGGCCACCCTATTTAAAATTGTCCAGTTAAGTATGCTGTCCACTACCACTCCCTCTACCTCAGTCTTGCACATCCAGCCCCCAATCCTGCTTAATTTTTTCTATAGTATTTATCACCATCTAAAGTACAATATATTTTATGTATTCATTTGGTTGGTTGTCAGTCTCCCCACTTGAATGTAAGCTCTTTGAAAACAGGGTATAGGAGGGGTTGTCTATTTTGTTCTCTACTGTATACGTAGTGTCCAGAGTAGCACTAGACAGTTATCAAGTAATTATTTATTTAGATATTATATAATTGTTGTATTCTAGTGAATGGCTTGATTCAGGAATATGCTGTGGGAGCATTAAGGAGTTGATGCCACAGTACTGTTGGAAGATTTAAGCAAATTATGTCAAAACTAAAATTGCTATCTAAAATACACATGATCAATTAAAAACAACTCCCTCTAGCAGGCCACCTCTTTCAGCAACCTGGGGGTACCTGCCCCCTAACTTAGGGTAGAGTGGCATGGACTCTGCTGCCTAGAATCAGCTATTTCACAGGATCAGTCCTGAGGCATTAATCCGGCACACAGATGCTCAATAAGTATTTGTTAAATGAATGGGTGAGTTTGAAGATTGGATAAGCCCTGTTAATCATCCTTACTATGCCTTGTGTCAGTGCCTCTCAAGGTGTGATCCCACGTCCTTGCTGGTCTGCAACGAGATAAATAAAGAAATGGGGATTTAAAATTTAGGATTCATTGTGGTGTGACATCTTAATGATAGTTTTTATTTTATTTTATAAAAGTATTAGCCTGGAACAGATTGCAGGGGAAAAAACTAGTACTTCACTCTAAATAGTTTGAGAAGCACTTGTTTCTGTCATGGATTGCTGTGGGGTTTCTGTGGGTCACTTGTTTATGTGCTTTAAGGATATTTAAAACTTCCCCTTGAGAGCAGTCCTGTATTACCTGTAGGCATCCTTGGAAACTGAGGTTATTCTCTAGAGAAAAATATTTGATAGGTTTTTTACCTTTACTAATAGAATGTCAACTCTTACCTGCTCATCTGATACCCAGAGCAGGTGGATTTTCCCTCAATGGACAGATTTATGTCTCACTTTGTCTTAAAATGGTGCAATCATTTATGGGCTTAAAACATTAAAATATTTTTAAAATTAATTTAATTTATTTATTTATTTTTGGCTGAGTTGGGTCTTCATTGCTGCGCCTGGGCTTTCTCTAGTTGCGGCAAGCGGGGGCTACTCTTCGTTGCGGTGCGCGGGCTTCTCATTGCAGTGGCTTCTCTTGTTGAGGAGCACGGGCTCTCGGCACGCGGGCTGAAGCGTAGTTGTGGCACGCGGGCTCAGTAGTTGTGGCTTGCAGGCTCTAGAGTGCAGGCTCCGTAGTTGTGACGCACGGGCTTCGTTGCTCCCGCGGCATGTGGGATCTGTCTGGACCAGGGCTTGAACCCGTGTCCCTTGCACTGGCAGGTGGATTCTTAACCACTGCGCCACCAAGGAAGCCCTAGAAAATTAATTTTTTTGCCTAGGTTTTACAAAAAGTTTTTAAAAATAACTTTATTGAGGTATAATTTATATACAGTGAAATTCAGCATTTTACGTTTACAATTCAGTGAACTTTTAGTAAATTTACCAAGTTGTGCAGCCATCATTACAATCAAACTTTAGAACATTTCCATCACCCCACAAAGATCCTTTATGCACATTTGCAGTCATTCCATGTTCCCACCCTAGCCCCAGGCAGCCGTTAATCTATATTCTGTCTCTGAAGATGAAATGAAACTTTTTCTGGACATTTCATGTAAATTGAATCATATAATATGTGACCTGTATGTGGCTTCTTTCATTTAGCATAATGTGTTTGAAGTTATCCATGTTGTTGTATGTATCAGTACCTTGTTCCTTGTTACTGCTGAGTAGTATTGCATTGTATGGATGTACCACATTTTGTGTATCCATTCACTACTT